AAAAAAAAAAAAAAAAAAAAAAAAAAAAAAAAAAAAAAAACCCTCCAGAAACCGACCCCTCCTATTCCGAAGGGCAGACCCTTCAACGGGCCACAGATTCCACTCGGTAGGTAATGGGATCAAACTCTTCCATACTCCCCAGAAAAACTTTCGGGAAAGACTCTTCACAAACCAACCCCTCCTATTCCAAATGGTAGACCCTTCCCCGATTCTCCAAGGGCCAGTAATCCCATCCTGTAAGTTGCAGCTTGGTCTGGAGGTGGACGGATTTGCGGTTCGATGCGTTAAGATCTCGTTTCTTCTTTTCCTTGTTATTAGTTCTTTTTGTTTACTTTTTATTTTTATATTTATCATTTGCGTAGGGGCTATGTAGGTTTCGATTTGCCTGTGCCTGTATAGGCCTCGCTGCACTGCTCTCCGAATGGGCAAAATGAGACTGAATCTTCCTCTAGAACATGGAAAGATACACTGATACCACGCTCGGGCGTGGGGGCGCAGCCAGGATGGCGGCGGACCGGCGATAAGCCCACGAGAGCTTCGCCGCACTTTTGTTGGCGACCTGCAAAAATTCGATGCCCCCTTCTCCGTCAGTTTTTTTGTGGTTGTCTGCACATCTCCGTGAATATGGCTGCATTCAGACATTGAGGAAACCGAACGCCCCTATCGGGACCTTTTTGTTTTCCCTTTTTCTTACTTGATTGAGCGGGTCCTCTTAATGAGAGGTCCGCTCCCATACCAAACTGTTGCATACGATAACTGTGCAGACCAGAACAAAAACCGACCTCTCAATACAAGTACAAGATAGCGTAGCGGAAGACTTAGATACCAATGATCCGAACAATCAATATTGCAATGCAGCCCCGAACATACATCATCATCATCACTCCATAGTGTGAAGGGGTCTGGCTCTTCACCCAGGAAGACTGCGCCAGCCCCAACCATACACAGACGAAGGAGATGGGGGTTAGACGAAGAAGAGGGGAAGATGGGGAATGTCGTCAACACCAAGTCTTCGGCACAGGCCCAAATAGTCCCTCGTCAAAATGTCCGAATCCCAATGTCGAGTCTGGGTCCAATGTCGTCATGGTTCAACGGTGGGACCAAGTGGACAGCGTAATCCTCTTAAGATTACCGAGGACTTGCGACATGCGCCTACTCCCCAGATGTGTAGGGAGGCCGCTAGCAAGGCGGCCAAATCTGGCGGAGTGAGAGGTGGAGTCGCCTCACCTCCCGTGCAGCTCAGTTTCCCGAGCTGTGGTACTGGCTGTCCATTTCCGGCCGGCAATGCGGTTTTCGCCTTCCCTTTTCTCGGGAGTTGTTGTTGCTTCGCGGCTGGACGGCGGCCACCTGATCTTCCTCACATGATGCTTGGGTGGCTGCCGGGTCTTCCACAATGGTGTCCAGTTGGACTGCAGCGACATGTTGCGGACGCGGACTAAATTTTCCCTTCTCCACATGGGCTGGCTGCCACGCTGTCTTCTCGTGTGCAGCAGCCCGGTTGGTCTTGATGATCTCTCGGATGATTCGAAATGCCGGAACTTGAGCTTTTCGATGCTAGTGGCTTCATGCCGCTGTAGCAGATCCTGGGCTCCCTTGCGACGTGCCTGGGTATCTGCGTCTGCTTCGGCCTGAAGCCGCTGCTTTTCAGCTGTTGCTTCTGCTTCAGCCTGTAGGCGGGCAGCCTCGCCTGCCACCTGACGCTGCTCCTCAAGCTTCGATCAGTGCGAGCTGAGTCTGGAACCGCTGTTTGTAGTCGGCAAGAGACTCGTTGGCCAGTTGGCCTGGCATGCCCAGAAGTGAGCCCGTCATTGTGGCAGGGCACTGTTGACGTGGCACTGTTGCTGACGTGGCACTGCTGACGTGACACTGTTGCTGACGTGGCACTGCTGACATGGCACTGTTGCTGACATGGCACTGTTGCTGACATGGCACTGTGGCTGACGTGGCACTGTGGCTGACGTGGCACTGTGGCTGACGTGGCACTGCTGAAGTGACACTGCTGAAGTGACACTGCTGATGTGGCACTGCTGACGTGGCACTGCTGATGTGGCACTGCTGACGTGGCAGTGCTGACGTGGCACTGTACCAACTCGGAAATGCATGCAAAGGAGTGGGTGGGAGGGAAAACGCAGGTAGGAGACCAACCCAACAATACTTTCCTCCCGGCCCTAATCAACAGATAAAAAAAAAAAAAAAAAAAAAAAAGGACTACTTCCTTTTTTTTTTTTTTTTTTTTTTTTTATAACTGTGGATCTGTTATGAGTGAGACATGTCAGAAGAGTACTATGAACAAGATCTAGGCTAGTTTCCGCAACGTTTCGGCTTTCACAAAATGCGATCATTAATTTTTTTTTTGCGAAATAGAGCAAAGATGCGATTTTCA